AAAAAAAATAAAATAAAATAAAAACTTTGCCCCTATTCCTTTCTTTTGTGTATGTGAATGTGCTATGTTTTTTGAGACAGGGTCTTGCTGTTTAGTTTAGGTTGGCCTTGAGCTCATTATATAGGCCAGGCTGGCCTCAAACTTTCAGTGATCCTCCTGCCTCAGCCTCCAGAGCACTAGGACTATAGGCATATGTCACCATACCCACCCCCTTCCTTATTTCTAAAACCAAAATCCTGTTCTTGAATGTATGCTATAAAACACATTTATTAGCGTATGTGCATTTTATGATATGCAGTATGGTTTTGTAAATAGGCCTTAAAATGCTAATTGTTTTATGAGTGCACTTCATGTGAACATAATACTGCCATAAACTGAAACTGTAATTTCTTCATTTAGATTGTCCATATCTTTTGAAAATGTTGACACAGCTAAGAAGAAGCTACCTGTTCATGTCTTAGATGGCCTGACCCTGAGCTACAAAGTAGGTGGGGCTGCTCCTTTCCCAGATGCTGTTTGCTGTTAGGACTAAAATGCGCCTGTCACCAGTGACTTTCTGTTCCAATTTTGTTTTCGTTTTCTTAGGTCCCCTGGCCTGTGGATATTGTTATAAGTTTGGAGTGTCAAAAAATTTATAACCAGGTGTTCCTGCTTCTCTTGCAAATAAAATGGGCAAAATATAGTCTGGATGTTTTACTATTTGGTGGTAAGATCTCTTTTAAACAGTAAATTATATTTTAATTTTAGCCCTGAAAAAAGAGCTTGATTTGGATCATTTTTAAAGCATAAACAAGTAACGGATGTGTATTTACAGCAGAGGTTGTACAGACCTCAGATATCTGAATGAAATATCAGAGAGATGTACGTAGAGTCAGCCTGAAATATGAAAACTTATCAGAGCTGGGTGTGGTAGCACACGCCTGTAATGCCAGCGCTTGGGAGGCTGAGGCAGGTGGATTGCTGTGCGTTTGAGTCCAGCCTGGGCTACAAAGTGAGCTCAAAGCCGGCCTGAACTGCACAGCAAGACCCTGTCTCAAAAAGACAAGGGAAAAAACAAAAACCTTACTGGGACAGTTGTTCTTAGCTTATGCAAAACAGCTTAGCAAGAAGCTGCCGGGGCCTTGATGTGTGTGGTGACAGTGATGACAGCGTGACTCGGGCCCTTGGCCCTCATCCCAGTGCTGCTGCCACCTCCGCCTCGGCCCTCCGTTCCCTCCACGCACTGGGGCGCCGGGTTGCAGCCGCGCACTGTGCACCTACGCTGCTCTTTCCATCTGTCACAGAACTGGCTAATGCGGCTGAAAAAGTGAAGCCCAAGAGAGGCCCTGCGTGTGAACAAGACACAGTGGCTCCGTTCGGACCCCAGAAGGCGCCAGTGAGACAGCAGATCCACCGCATGTTCCTCCTCAGAGTGAAGCTTATGCATTTCGTGAACAGTTTACACAACTATATCATGACAAGGGTTGGTGTTGCTGTGTAGATAGCTGTGTGGAAGACAACTCGGAATGTATTTGCAGCCCAGTGTGAGGCTGAGGCAGGTCGATCTCGAATTTGAGGCCAGCCTGAAAAACGTAGTGAGACCCTGTCTCAAAAAACTAAAAAAATATACATATATTTATATGTATAAAATATACTATATATATTTAGGGAGGAGCCATAAAACGCTAGCCCTAGATAGCTGTCCCTAACCCTGAATTCACTGAAATTGTTTATGTTATTAAAGTAATGGCTGGGTGTGGTGGCACACACCTGTAATCCCAGCACTCAGGAGACTGAGGCAGGAGAATCGCCATAAGTTTGAGGCCAACCTGCAATACACAGTGAGACCCTGCCTCAATAAAATAAAATAAAATAAAATAAAATGATAGCTGTCTTTACAACAACTTAATCTGGTAATTGTTTTAACTCAGTGCAGTTCCTATGGAGTTTGTGAGCTTGCCCCTGCCTGCCAAGAGGCCTGTTAGTCCAGAGTTGGGCATTCCCTTGGTGTGCAAGTGGCCATCCCAAGGACTGGCCCTGGGACCACCTTAGAGCCAAAATACACGACATCCAGTCACCTGTACAGGAGCGTTTGCTTATTGCAAGAAGAACTGGAGAAGAACAGAACAGACGATAGAAAGTTCCGAGTGCGTCACACAGGCCCTCAAAGAAAGTGTGTGCTTACTCCGCTTTCGTCTTTCTCTTCCCAGATTCTTCACAGTACTGGGCTAGAGTTCCAGCATCAAGTGGAGGAAGCCAAGGATTTGGATCAGTTGATTAAAATTCACTATAGGTACTTGTCCACCATCCACGACCGATGTTTGCTGAGGGAAAAGGTACATACAGCTTCGCCCACGTGTCTCCAGTGGGGCCGGGAAGCTGGGCCTGAGGGAGTGTCTGCCTGTGATTATTAAGATGCTGGAAGGACCAGGCCTGCGGGTTACGAGTTGTGCCCCACTCCTAGGCGTGACGTCTAGGGAAGATGTGACAGCCGTGTTGCCGCCGTTGGCACTAAGTGCACTACACTGGACTCTGAGCGGGTTGTGTCTGCACTTGGGGATTGATAGTACGTTCTAGCACGACTGTATGGGACTGGACCGTATCACAGCTGTTTAGAACTGCTTGTCCCTGTTGTCCTGGTGACCCTAACGGTCATCCCGGGCGGCAGCTACCCTGCTAGTCCCTCACTGCCAGGCTTACGGGTATTGTGCACCGTTGGTGCAGAGCCCCGTGTGCTTCCTTAATTACACTGGCAGGCAGTCACCGTGCTGCTGAGCTTTTGCGGGGAGACGTCACGAATGTGGTGAAAGCGTGGAGTCTGTACAGCACAGTTACAGAGTCTGTGTTCTGCCACAACTTTGCTTTCCAGGTGAGCTTTGTGAAGGAAGCTATCATGAAGGTGTTGAACTTGGCCCTCATGTTTGCAGAAGGGTGGCAGGCGGGCCTGGGCGCTTGGCAGTGAGTATTTACCTTGTGATCTGAGACGTGCTGAGCACGACAGCGTCATTCAGGGCGTCTTCTTCCTTCCTGGCAGCACATCACACACCATGATAGTTAAGAATTTAAGAATTGAGCCCGGCGTGGTGGCGCGCGCCTGTAATCCAGCACTCGGGAGGCTGAGGCACGAGGATTGTTGCGAGTTCAAGACCAGCCTGGGCTACAGAGTGAGCTCAAGGCCAGCCTGAACTGCACAGCGAGACCCTGTCTCAAAAAGACAAAACAGAAGGAATTTTAAGAATTGAGTTCGGGACATGGCAGTATAGCTCCCCTGCCGTGGTGGAGCCTCACTGCCATGCACAAGGCCCTGGGTTTAACACTCCGTATCAGAAAAGAAGAAAAGTTGAATCTTTCACCTAAACTAGGTAGCACCAGACTTAATTGTGCAGTTCTTTTTCTAACTTCTTTTTATTACTACGTATTTGTCTTACATATTGATTGCATGCATCATAGGAAATTTGTACATTTAAGAGAGGTGGAATAGGGCTGGGATATAGCTCAGCCGCACAAGCGCCTGCGTGGCAAGTGCAAGGTCCTGAGTTCGATTCCCGATACCAAAAAAAAGAGGTAGAATAGTAAGAAAAGTCCAAAGTCTTCTAATTACGATGAGATTAGATTATATTAATATTTTCTTAAATTTTTATTACAGATGTCCTCAAGTACGTACAGAAGTAGAGAGAGCAGAACAACAAGCATGGGGTACTCAGTAGTCTCCCGTGACGCCCCACTGTGTCGGGTCTCCCCCAGCCAGTGCTAGCGCCATCCACTTACCCTGGGGCTGTTCTCCGAAGGGAGAGACGAAGACTGGGAAAATTCATAATTGCAGGGAGGAAAACTGAAGTCTTGCTTTATCCCTGCAGCCCTCTCCAAGGGCAGAAGGGCTTCCTCTGTTCATATCTCGTGGAGGGGAGGAGAAACGCACTGCTGTGCATAGCTCTGAGCCCAGACTGTCTCCTCAGCGAAGCGTGAGGGCAGAGTTGGAGTGCGGAGGGCTCGAAGGACTCAGGCCGCAGAGCCGGGGGTGGAGGAGTTAATTGGCCCTGTCATATCTAAAGCGGAAGAGTGAATAAGCAGCACTATGAAATTTGCTGAGCACCTACTGATTATTTGCTATATCAAATAATGCTTAAATATTCCTAGGCAGTGGTGGTGTGGCTGTATTTTGAAAGAAATACATTTAAAGTATACATTTATTACTGAAGCACTTTGATTTCTTTCAAGCGCCGTGACGGGCTGGCAAGGTGTGAGCAGACTGGCTCAGGATGGCGCCTGCAAGGAGGGCGGCAGATGCACACAGGGCCCCTGCGCAGTTCTGCCTAGTGTGTGCTGGCTCCTTCCCATTTTCACACACAAGCCCCAGCGCTGTGGCCGGAGGGCCGTATGTTCAAGCCCAGCCTAGGAACTTGGAAAGACCTTACTCAGAATAAATAGTAAAAGGGGTGAGGTTTTAGCTCAGTGCAGAAGCCCTGAATTCAGTCCCCAGTGCCACCAAAAAATAAAAATAAAAAATAACACACACCTCTGATCCAAAGTCTGGGAAGGCTGAGGCAGGAGGACTGCAAATTTGAGGCCAGCCTGCGCAACTTAGTGAGACCCTGTCTAAAAGTATAAAAAACATTTAAAGGCCAGCAATGTAGAGTGCTCCGGGGTTCAGTCCTTAATTCCACCAAAAAAAAAACCCTTTTATAATGGCAAATTTAAGGATTTCATATCCTTAATGTAAATGTAAAGTTCTCTGTTTCAAGAGTATATACTTGTAAAAAATAATAATACAGAGTTGTATAAAGGAAAAAAGAATAGTTCCAGAAGTAAATACTGTCTGAAAACAAAGTTTTGTATCTTATGAGACCTTGTATCTTAAAGCAGGATGTTTTATATTTGTTTATAATCTTGAGATTTAGGATTTTAAATAATTGTAAAGTATATTTGAGATTACTCCAGAGATATTTTACAGCCACCCTATTAGCCCCTGTGCATTTACGTAACTGGAAATTTTCTTTCTTTCCTAGAATGGAATCTATAGAGAAAATGGAGTCTGACTTTAAGAACTGCCATATGTTCCTTGTCACCATTTTAAACAAAGCTGTCTGCAGAGGATCTTTTCCCCACTGTGAGTACGTCTCACTGCCGTGTCGCTGCTGGTGTATTTTCTTGTAGCGGAGTCTGCATGTCCTTGTCTTATTGGCCACATGGAAAATTCAAGTTTCTCAGCATGTTCAGAACTGAAGGGTCTCGTAGCACTTGTGCTGCTCTTTGTTTTCTCAGAGCTACAGGGTGGGGCATGACTACAGCGTGGAAACGCCGCATACTAGCGGTCTTGCTCGCTGTGGTACCATTTGTTGTACCAGTGGCTTCCCCACCCTGAGAGAAGAGCTGGCGGGCGGATTGGCTGCTCTGCCACCCTGTGTATCCTCGGCAGCTATCCCCACCCAAACGTTAGGACTTCGAACGCAGTTCCAAAGCCCGAAGCTGCTCCTTAGCCAGGGTCACACGTTCTTGCCTGAGAATAGAGCGCTCCCAGATGCACTGCGAGGCGAGGGCTAAGAGGACTAAGCGCTGCCTCTGCCCAGGCACTGGTAAAGCAGGTGTTAGGGGTAGGACACGCCTTGTGGTCGGTCTTTAGCACACCGTGTTCCTACTTACTGTGTAAGAGGAGACCTGGATGCATTCGCCCAAGTTTGCACTGCGTGAGGCCACACAGGTAGATGCTCTCTGCGGTTTAGAATGCGCCACTTGCCTGCCAGATCCAGATTTTATGTGGGGCAAATGTGTTTCATTCAGTAAAATAGCTAGAATTTTTGTTTTCAAAATTAAAACTATCTGAAATAGAAATAAATCATACTGACTTTTTCTGTTTATATTTAGCAAAGTAGATAGTCATCTTTATTATACATTTAAAAACACCTGCACACTCATAATCCCAGCACC